TATAGTCACTGCAAATGGCATCTTGAGCAGTATTGATAATATAGAATGTGTGCATGATCTAGTGTATAGTAAAAGTGGCAGGAAGCAGAAGTGTATAAATAATTTTATTATGATACATATTTTAAAGGATATGTAGAAAAAATGGAATAAAATATTATATCATATTATAAATATAAAACCAGATAGCATTATCATTCTCATTTGCAGATGAGAAATAATGGAGGCTATGAATGGTTAAATAACTTGTCTAAACTTAACAAAAGTGCAAATTGATAGAGGTGAATTTCAAGGTTAAAATTGGTGTAATGTTCCCATCTTTTAACTCTAAACCATACCATGTATGTCTTCATGTCTTCAGCATAGTACTAGTTAGAGATTGGGAAGGGGTTGTAAGATTTACATCGGTATCAATTTCTTTCAGCAGAATATAGTTGGTTAAGTCCATTTTGTCCATATTCCAAAATTATCTAAACAAATCTGCTTTTAAAATTTTACTGACACTATCACATAGTTGTATTTAATGGTACTTGTTGACTCAGCAGACTCTCTTGTTTACTTTCATTCTACTGTTCAGCTTTCATCTCAGCCAGAGCCTGTTTAAAATAGAGCACTATTTCTTCCCTCAATACAAGGACCACATGAATAACAAATACATGACAATGAATACAACCCTTTCCGGGACCCAAAGAGTAACTTAACTTGAATACTAGCTGCTAGATGAGAAGGACATAATGTTAACCTTTCATGGGCTCTAGCACACTAGTCACTGACATACCAACTTCTGCCCGAGTAGTTGCTGATTAACGTAACCGAGTGATTGAGAAAACAAAGAAGTCAGGTGTATTTGCTCCCTTCTGTTTTAGTAAAATTTGTACTCAAACTTGGAAAATATTCAGGTTTTTCTAACATCATGAATACAGTATTGTTTTATCTGTATGAGAAAACGCTTTGGGATTGGAAATTTTCCAAAGCCCCCAAAGAGAGTATGCAGTATTGCTCATCACTTGGCATATCTTGGAAACTAACACTTATTCTACTGGTGATGTAATAACATAAGTTTTTTAAAATATATTTTATTGATTTTTTACAGAGAGGAAGGGAGAGGGATAGAGAGTTTAGAAACATCGATGAGAGAGAAACATCGATCAGCTGCCTCCTGCACACCTCCTACTGGGGATGTGCCCGCAACCAAGGTACATGCCCTTGACTGGAATCTAACCTGGGACCCTTCAGTCTGTAGGTCGATGCTCTATCCACTGAGCCAAACAAGTTAGGGGCATAAGTTATTTTTTATTATGATGCTTTGGAACTTCTAAAGTTTATTGATAATCTCAATCACTTATTAATGCTGTATCATTAATTCTTTGTCTCAGAATACACTCTTGGTCCTTCAGGAATGACATTGGACACAGGCAGGTAAGAGTTCTGGCTCAGCCTGTTAGAATTTCTTAAGTTGCTTCTCCTGAGGGCTTTCGTTTGGGTGAAGACTTGATCTCATAGGGATCCATATAAAATGTGCATGTACTCAGGAGTGACCCTTTTAACAGTCACTGGCAATCCTTAGCATAGTACCTAACATTATATGTTGAGCACTGGTAAACACTTCTCCAGGCCTTAAATGTCCTTATTTCACTTTCTTCATTATTCAGCCTATACTCCGTGGTGTGTTGCCATAGAATCGCAGCTCTCTTACTTTATAGTCGTTTAGTTGCACTGATCTTGGAGCACCAACCGTGTGCTAATCCAGCCAGCTGTCCTTGCAGCTCCTATGTTCATATCTGATTGTCAGATAAAGTGAAACCATGGTGCAGGTCAGAGCCACATAAAGGTGCTGTCCCCAGCCCCAGCTGGATTCTCAGCATGGTCCAGGTAGTCCTACATTCTCTGGTCCACTCCACTCATCTTCCTGCGTGGAACCACTTCCTTTGGGTCCTCTACTCCCTTGTCCCTTTCCCCCAATGACCACCAAGTCCTGTTTCATTGTAAAGTTGCCTATTTCACCTTTGGAAATAGGGTAGAAATCTTGACATCTCTGCTTTATCTTTCTGTTCTTTGAGGTCAGTAATATCTAAAGCAACTTGTGTTTTCCCAAACATGCAATGAGTTACTCGTACAATGCACGTCACTATTAAACATTCATCCAGGACTTAGTGTCCTGGATTTCAATGACAGCTGTGCCCACTCTGAATTAGTCATATGTTGGATCTGTGAATCCTATCCCTGTATACATTCGATTTAGAAGAGGAGGTTTCTCAAATATCTCTAAAGCAGCGGTTCTCAACCTGTGGGTCGCGACCCCTTTGGGGGTCAAACGACCCTTTCACAGGGGTCGCCTAAGACCATCGGAAAACACATATATAATTACATATTGTTTTTGTGATCAATCACTATGCTTTAATTATGTTCAATTTGTAACAATGAAATTAGGGGTCACCACAACATGAGGAACTGTATTAAAGGCTTGCGGCATTAGGAAGGTTGAGAACCACTGCAAAGCAAACTACCCAGACTCAAAAATTTCTAAGTATGCTAGTCAATGGAGTAATATTAAAAGCGGAGTGTAAACAGTAGCTCTTTGTGCATGTTACCCAAATTCAGTGCTGCTTACGTAAATTCCTGTACTCCCACCATTTAAATTCTGCTGTGCACTTAATACTTCACGAGAAAGCATTAAATATTTTTGAAGTATGTGGTTAAGGTGAGCAATTCAGTGAAACATTGGCTACTTTCAACATGATGGTTTGTAAAGTTCTCCTACTTGTGGGTTATGATATTGAGTTCATCATTGAAAGTATCACTAGTCAACATGATTTAGAAAGGTAGTGACTTTTTTTCTTGTCTTTGAATGTTAGGAATCTTGGTTAACCTGAAACCAAACAATAAGCTATTAATTCTACAAAGATGGTTATTAATTTTATTGAGAAAATGGCATGCTGACAGAAAAGAATCCACTGAATACCCTTGCACTATTTTAAATCTGTCATTCTATTTCGTAAAATACTATTGGGCAGAGTCCCTGATTAATTCATGATAAGGGCTTAGGAAAAATGGATTCAATCTAAAAACCTTTCTTAAAAGTTGCTTTCTGCCAAGAAAAAAAGTATCAACTATGAAATAGTTTATGTAGAATATTTTATTATGTTAAATAATATTAAAATAATAGCACATTATTGTATTTTGTTTGTACCAACATATTCTAGGCATTTCAACATTTATAATTTTAGGGGCTGTGTTTTCATGATAATGTTTATTCTTAGAACTAGGGTAGTAGTTAATGTATCTTTGCTCTGCTAGACTTGGTGTTTTTGACTAAGGTTGATATTTTGAAGTTTTCAAAATAGAGATAGTATGAACTAAGGGCTTTACCCGTAAAATTTGGAAACTGAAAATCATTTCTTTCTAAAATATAAATTAGGAGTTGCTCATATAAGAAAGTTGGGGATTTTTTTTTGTGTGCACCAAATTCTAATATGAACCATCAAAATCAATTGTCCTGCTTCTTATAATAATGAATTTTACTAAACTTTAGCATTTCACCATGTCATTCTATATAACTTTGGAGTTTAGAATAGCACAGATAAGACATAATCCATAAGTCCTAACATCCAGGTGCTGTCTTACCAAACATCCGTTGTATGATCAGGAAGTATTAAAATAATCTGCAGCCGATGTTAAATCTTTCTGGCTATTATTAGCTATTTGAAAAGATTGAGGTTCTCTTTTATCTGGAGATACCTCAACGTATTAGTTGGCAAGTAAATGTTTAAAATGCATTTGAAAGTATCATTCTGCTTATGTAAAATAGAAAACAAAACAAGTATATGAAATCAGGCTATGAAAAAAGCTGTATCTTATTAGCATGTGGATCTTAACATTGTGGCTCCAGAAATTTTAGTGAACCACAAAATCTAAAGCTACATTTCCCATCTACATACAGATACTACCTTCACTTATCTATACAATGCAAGTGTATCCAGTTCTTTGATAAAGTGATATATAAAGGGAAAAGAATTAATTTGAGAGTGTCATAAAACACAGAAGTCTTTTTATGCTACTGTAATACATGTAATTTGAAAAATCTTTAATTGATACCATTCAATCCGTTTTCTCATGTGTTTATAAAAAGATTTCAATGCAGCCCTCAGTCCCTTTGCAAATCACAGATTTTTCCAGTCTTTCTTCCTGATTTGAAATTCACTAGTCTCAGTTTCATAATACACTGGCCAGAACCCATATCACTGTGGACATTCTTGCTACTGCAACAGGTGTTTGTCAGTTTCTTAAGTTGCTTTCCTTTCCCCTGAGGTGGTGTTATTTCCGGTACATTCCAAAGGCTCTGAAAAAAACGTTCACAGTCTCTTGCCAAGCCAAATCATGACTCGGCCTCAAAGTTATTGAGAATACATTGTCTTTAGGCTTTTATTAAGTAGGAAAATTGTGTGTATCTTTCTCTAATTCTGATTTTTTTATTAACTAAAATATTTAGGAAGTGTTTTGTAAAATTAAAAGTGAAAATGGAAATGATTTTTTTTTCATTCAGAAGTGAACACTCTGGATGTCTGGGAGTAGGGTTGATTATATTCTAGAGTTAAAAGGTTTTCATCATCCATTTGGACCACCCTGAAGTTTGACATAAACATAAACAAAACGGATCTTGATAACGTGCAGTCTAAGCTTTCTACCTGCTAATGTTTCCTCTACAAGTGAGGGCTCTGCAGGCTAACATTTTTACTGCAGACCTTAAGGCAAGGGAAGGATACGGGTAGAAAGGAGATCATCAATCAATTGCTTATTTATATAGCTTTCTGCTCTCCACACACTCTACTCCTACTTTACCAGCTAAAACCTAAGCCCACCATAATATGAATCAGTTGTGATCAGAGCACATGTGCGCGTGTGCGTACACACACACACACACACACACACACACACACACACATACACACATACAGTTTAGAACTATGACAAGGCAACAAGAAGATAAGAGTTTTCACACCAACCTTTTGGAAGTTTCTCAGTCCCGCTGAAGGCAACCAGGGTAAGAATATGTACCAGTGGAATGTTGACGAGCTCTCTCATGATTAATCCAGGCTCAGGCAGGAGAAAGTTTCTTCTGGACAATGCAAGGAGAATGCCCCACAGTTTACATTTTAAAGCATAGTTTGTTACAAAAGGGTCATCTGCTAATGACCGTTTGTGTCAGCAGCTCCACAGGCTCTAAGTATAATCAGGAATTCTCAGACTTGGCTGTAATGATGGACACGGCCAGCTGCTGAGTATCCACTTAGGCCAGCAATGCCAGTGTAGGGCTGGAGGAACAAGGGAAAGAAAATCCCTTTAGAATCCCTTTTAAGACAGTGGCAGAAGGACAATACCAGATGCCATTTGAACCATCACTGTATTCTCTAAGGTATAGTTTGCCTGATCTTCTGATTCATCTCTCCACCTCACCTGAACTCACACCAGAGCCCTGGGTATATCTAATCATGACTCCTCCCCCTCTCTCACGCCACCTCCCACACCAACCCATTACCAATACCTACAGATTGTACCAACTCAGTATTCCTTGATTTCTTCCCCTTCTAGGATTCCAACTAGTGTCATGCTATTCCAACCTCTTTTTTTAGACATGCATCTTCTCTGAATGACAGTGATAGCTTCCTGCCTATTACCTCTGCCTTGTGTCTTACCATCCTCTAACATCTTTTCAGATAGCCTCTCCTGTTCAAAGCCTTTAGTAGCTCCTCATCACATAAAAACATATTCAAACCTCCCTAATATTATGTAGGAGGCTTTGCTAGACTGCCTACCTTGTTAGCCTCCTCATCTTTTATAATCCATCCCTACCTCTTATTTTAATACGTAGTAACCCACTGGTGGTTCCCTATATATACAGTTTTCTTGCCTCTATAAATTTCTCATGCAGTCTCAGTCTCTGGAATGCTTTTTCCCTCCTCTCCACCCCGTTAACACCTAGCTCAGCTTGATCTTCATCTCCTTCTGGGAGCCATCCCAGACCCCGAATTATGTATCTTCCCAAAGTTGGGTTAGGTTTACCTCCTCTGGGCCTCCATAATATATTGTACACATCTCTATCATTGCACTTACTACATTGCTTTAAGATTTGTTTCCTCTTGCCCTAGTGGCATCCTCATTCTTTGGCCTCATGAGTCCACTGAGTTGGCAGCTGTGGGCTGTCAGCAAATTGCACTCTTTGCTGCAGGTTCTCCGAAGGTGCATCTCCAATAGCTTTTCAAATTGCCACTTGAGAATTACCTTTTCCTATTGAACAATAAGTCTTGGAGACTTTCCTATGTTAATATATACAGCACTACCTCATTATTTCTATTAGCTATGCTGTCTTCTAAATCATGGATGTATGATGCTATATTTAACTACTTCCCAGCAGTGAGAGACCCAATTTCCCCACACTCTTCATCAACACTTACTTTTGAATTTTTACTTTTAAATAAAATAAAATTGATATTTCATTGTTTTAATTTATGTTTATTATAGTGAATACTGTTGGAAATGAGAATTTTTATGTATTTATTGTTATTAATTTTTCTCTTGCATGGCTTTGTCTAGTTTCCTCTTAAGTCATTTTTCTTTTTATTATTAATTTATAGGAGATTCTTTAATACTCTGGATATAAACAATTTATATAATTTGTCTACATAGAATACCTCTACTACCTAGCTATAATAATTGGTTCAGAAATGGGTTTATGGCTCAAGCTGGTCAGTCCAAGGTCTCCCTGGTATATTATTGGACCTACTGCAAAGTATGGTCTTCCTTCTTAGATCACCACCTGAGGGCCAGGTGAACCAGGGCTGTTGGAGGCATTCATGCTCCATTAACAAGATTCAGTGTGCAAATCCAGATCTATCATTTGGCATCCTTGTTATTTAAATTAATAAATCCTCTCCTTTTTTTTTTTTTTTTTTGCTCAGCTAATATTAGTTTGATTTTTTTAGTTGCAATCAAAATAATCCTAATGTAATTTTAATAGAAGAGGTATCGATTTAATCATATTTCTGCTCTGAGAATAGTCAACAAATGCCACATAGTTCATGGGAAATTTAGACACTAGCAGGATGAGCTCATTTTTTAAATGTGAAATTCAGGAATCAGAATGAACAGTGGCTAGCTCTCATTCCCATAAGTAGCACCAGGTAAAGCAAAGGGTTCTGGAAATTGGGCTTAGACTTGTGAGGTAAAGTTCAGCTCAGGATCAGGAGCAGCCATCAATAAAGGGAAGTCCAAGGCAAGCCAATCAAGGGGCCTCCTCATTCAAATGTCCAGGAGGAGGATGTGTGAGGGAGCACTCTCCATCTCCTCCTTTCCCCCTAAAACATCAAATAAGCTATGGATGGTGCCCATTTTTAATCCAATAGAAACTATAGCCCCACCTGCATGGCTCAGTGTTGAGCATTGATCTATGAATCAGGAAGTCATAGTGGTTCAATTTCTGGTCAGGGCACATGCCCAGGTTGCAGACTCGATCACCAGTGTGGGGCATGCAGGAGTTAGCCGATCAATTATTCTCTCTCAACATTGATGTTTCTATCTCTCCCTCTCCCTTCCTCTCTGAAATAAATAAAAACATATCTAATCTAATAAAAGAGAAACATGCAAATTGACCGTACCTTCGCTACGCCCAAGCCACGCCCACCAGCCAATCAGAGCGACTATATGCAAATTAACCCAACCAAGATGGCGGCCGGAAACCACAGAGCTGGAGCAAGCAGGAGGCTTGGTTGCCCAGGTGATGAAGGAAGCCAAGCTTCCTGCCTGCCCTGGCCGGCTGTGGCCTCCACTAAAGGCAGCAAAGTTTCAATTATAGAAGATATATAAAACCCAGATACCTGCTTCCAGCCAGCCTCCACTGGGAGCTTGGGTGGCTGGGGGCCATAGCCAGCCTGCAAACAGCCCTCAGCCCCTCACCCAGTCTGTCCAGGCACCCCAGGGGGGAACCCCACCCTGAAGGGGCTGCAGCCTGAAAACAGCCATCAGCCCCTCACCCAAGCTGGCCACACCCTCAAGGAGTGAGGGTCCCTGCTGGGGGGCTTGACCAGCCTGCAAACAGCCCTCAGCCCCTCACCCAGGCTGGCCACACCCTCAAGGAGTGAGGGTCCCTGCTGGGGGGCTTGACCAGCCTGCAAACAGCCATCAGCCCCTCACCCAGGCTGGCCAGGCACTCCAACAGGGACCCCCACCCTGCAGGGGGTGTGGCCAGTCTGAAAATGGCTCTCAGCCCCTCATCCAGGCTGGCCAGGCATCTCAGCGAGACCCCCACCCTGATCCGGGACACCCTTCAGGGCAAACCAGCCAACTGCCACCCACGAACCAGGCATATAATTAAAGGGTAATATGCAAATTGACCCTAACAGCAGAACGACTGAGAATGACTGGTCACTATGACACACACTGACCACCAGGGGGCAGACGCTCAATGCAGGAGCTGACCCCTGGTGGTCAGTGTGCTCCCACAGCGGGGGAGCTCTGCTCAGCCACAAGCCAAGCTGACTGCTGCCAATACAGTGGTGGTGGTGGGAGCCTCTCCCGCCTCCTCAGCAGCACTAAGGATGTCCGACTATAGCTTAAGCCTGCTCCCCGCTGGCAACTGGACATCCCCCAAGGGCTCCTGGGCTGCCAGAGGGATGTCTGACTGCCAGCTTAGGCCCAATCCCCCCAGGGAGCAGGTGGTCATCCCCTGAGGGGTCCCAGACTGTAAGAGGGCACAGGAGGGCTGAGTGACCCCCCCTCCCCCGAGTGCACAAATTTTTGTGCACTGGGCCTCTAGTGTAATAATAAAAAAGGAACTGTACCCTATAGACCCAGTGACCCCAGAAAATTATTCCCTACTTCAAATTTCACCATGACCTGAGACTAAAGTGACCATAGTCCTCTTCAAAGCTAAGGGAGACAAAACTCTGTTGGGGGGAAATGAATCCAGAATTTGAGGGAGAGTGCTGGTTCAAAATGAATCCCTGGCCAAGAGAAACTCATGGAGAGTGTGGCTTAGGCATGATCCCAAAATGTGGCAGCTGGAGGCTGTCAGCCAATTACGTTCCTTTCTGCAGTTTCTTGGAATTTGGCTATAAAATGGCTTTCTATCCTATAATATAAGCAAATCCATTTCTTACCATAGTAGGCTCAGTCAGCCACAGAGAGTGGAGACTGGGTGCTAGCCAATTATTTGACTTCCTTCTGGGCATATGGAAAGTATTTGGGTTGATGGTAAGTCTTCTTTTTAATAAATAAAATACAGTCAGCCATCAATTAAGCTTATCTTGCCACCTCTAGTCTCTGCTTCTTCATCTCAGAAGCTGGCCAAGACCCTTGGGAAGTAGGCTCAGAGCAAGCAGTCCCATTCTGAGCCACATCTTGAACTAGATACCAGAATTCAGCTGCACAGCAGCTGATGAGACCGGCCCCACTTCTGCTGGAGTCAGCACATCGCCAAGTAAGCTGACCTGGTCTGCACCAGGCTCTCGTACATCTGGTGAAGCTTGGCAAAGAGCCCCTTCTAATGATCACAAAGGGCAATGACCTAATTCTCTGCCTCACCGGTCAGCAGACAGTGGGTCAGAAATGCCACATGGTTTGCCCTTTCCAGAAAACTCCTGGGCAATCAGAAAGATATTGTGAGATTGTATCTTGAAAAAGGGATAGAAGCTCCCACTAAATATTAGGATAGTGATTAGAGATGTATCAGTAATTTGGAGGCCTACAAATTGTAAAATTAGAGGGGCTCTTAAAAAAATGTTTGTCCAATGAATGAATAAATTGTATTGAGTATCTATATAAACAATGGATCATAATGTCTGGTTATGGGGCAGATATTATACAATTACATAAATAATTAAATGATAACCTGGAGAGATATACTGTACTGTAATATTATATAAAATTGAACCTAGTCTAGTCTGAGGGCTCAAAAAATGCTTCTCTGAGAAAGTGTCACTAAAGTTATGTCCTGCAGGATAAATAAAAGTCAGACAGCCAAACTAGGAAGGTCTTGGGGTGGACTGTAACAGGTAGTGGAGGGAGAATGTGGAAATCACCAGAAAGTGAAGGAACACAATGATGTGATGAAATGAAAGAAGGTCATTGTGTTTGAAATACAGAAAGTGAGGGCAAACACTTTGAGGCAGGTAGGAAGGGTGGTTCAGGATCTTGTATGTCTCAGGAATAACTTC